ATTAGATCTCATTGTGTGGGTCGGGGGTGGGCGTGGGGGGTGAGGGGGTGGGGTGCCTGGGAAATTATTGACAAAATTGACAAATGCTTTCAATTAACCCTGAAAGTAATCATTTCTTTTCCCTTCTGTCTTAAATGCGGAGGGAGATGCAACGCCAGGAGCAGCATCAGCCGCGCTGTAAACAAGAGGGAAACGCCAAGCGCATTACAGAGGACGTCAGCCCTGCCATCACTGGGCTGGGGAAACAATGCCAACCATGGCTGGTCTCCAGGTTCACAGTGATAGGGGAAATAAACCCTTATTTGTCTAAGCCATTGTGATCTGTTTTCCTTTTTTTTTTTTTTTTCAGCCAAACACTTTACAGAAGAGGGATATTTATTAAAATTCAGAAGGGGAGGGAAAAGGAGAGACTGTGCAGGAAACCGTGGTGGGTAAATGTCAAAGAATTTGTTTGCAGGTGGGAGGGGCCTGAGCACGATTTTGTCACAATAGCAGATTGAGCACAGGCACAGCGCTTTATACTGATCAACGTGTTTTAAAAAATATTTTGTAGGCCGGGCGCGGTGGTTCACTCCTGTAATCCCAGCACTTTGGGAGGCCGAGGCGGGCGGATCACAAGGTCAGGAGATCGAGACCATCCTGGCTAATAAAGTCCCAGCTACTGGAGAGGCTGAGGCAGGATAATCGCTTGAACTTGGGAGACGGAGGTTGCAGTGAGCTGAGATCGCTCACTTGAGATCGCGCCACTGCACTCCAGCCTGGGCGACAGAGCGAGACTCCGGTTCAAAAAAAAAAAAAAAAAAGTAGAGACGTAGGTCTCACGATGTTGACCAGGCTAGTATCGGACTCCTCACCTCAAGCCATCCTCAGGCCCAGGTCTCCCAAAGTGCTAGGATTAAGGCCTGAGTCACCGCGCCTAGCAGAACGCATTTAGTTCTCACTGCAACTTTCTGAGGCAGGCTGTGCTGTTATCTTCACCACACAGAGGGAACTGCGGCTTAGACAAGAAAAGCTCCAGCCAGCAGGTGGTCAGGCAGGATTTGAACTCAAGCACACGGTGCCCATCCAGTCCCGATGAACTCTGACTCCTCCGACAGCGGAGGGAGCGAGTCGTCTGGTGAACAATGAGTGTCTCAGGGTCCCGAGTATAAGATGGGGCGTCTGATGTGTCGCGAGGTCCTGCCTGGCCGTGTCCGGGTCTCCGGGAGGGCCGAGGCAGAGGACGATCCGGGGCAGGGTGGCCGGCACTGCTCTCCCTGAGGGCAGGGGCTGCGGGCTGCGCGGTCTGTGCGAGGGGTACGCCGGGCTCCGCCTCGCCTTCCCGCCCCGTCTCCCAGTCCTCCGCCCTGGCCCTGCCAAAGGGAGTCCGGCCCGGGCCCTCGGCTACCGACGGGGATGCTGGGTCCTGCTGATGCCGCAGCCCTGGCAGGGGACGGGGCGTGGAGGGAGTGGGCCGGCGCTGGCGCAGCCGCAGAACTGTGCCGGAGGGACTGTGACCCCGATGGCCCTCTCTGAGCCTTGGTTTCTTCCTCCGTAAAATGGGGCTTGAGTAGCGCCTCCGCGACGGGGAAGAGGGCTGGCAGGGACAGCGCGCCAGAGAGCCCAAAGCAGCGCGGGGAAGGCGCCTGCGGCTGCCTCCCAGGCCCATCCCACCGCCGATCCCGCCCAGGGGCGGCCCCGAGCATTTCCTGAAGGACCTCAGGAAATACCAGGCCCCCGCCCCCCCGCCCCCCTCCCCCCCCCCCCGCCACCCCCCCAGGCCGTCCGCTAGCGTCCAGCTCCCTGGCCGCCCCTCCCCCGCCTCCTTCCGGCCGGGCCCCTGCTCGCCCTGCTGAGGCTGCGGGGCTTGGCCCAGCCTTCGGGAATCCCCCGCCGCCTTCCCGAGCCTTCTAGATGTATCTGCGCCGCCTCCTCTCTCCCTCCCCTTCCTTCCAGCGCTTCATTCCCTCACTGCGGGCAGGCCCGCAGGCCCCGCGCAAACGTGGGGAAAGGTAGGTTGAGGGGGCTGTGTCCGATAATGGGCAGCCACACCCAGTAGGCCAGGCAGCTGCAGGAAAGAGGCTAAAGGGGTTGGAAGAGATTCTGGGAACCCAGAAAAGGAATCAAGGAAGGCTGCCTGGAGGAGGCAACATTTAAGTTTGGACTGGAAGAGCAAGGCGGGTCAGACAATAATTCATGTATTTACCAAGCATTTATTGAGCACTTGTTGTGTTCAAGACCCTGGGGTTGGGGCAGGAGGCAAGATAACTGTGTCCTCATGGGTTTTGCAGTAGGGAAAACAGTGGAGGCAACCATCTCACAAACTGCTGGAGCTGAGACCACCAGAGGGGACAATAGAATGTTAGTTCCATCTGATCAATGAGACCAGAGAGGACTGGGATGAAATGACTTGCCCACAGTCACAAGTGGTAGAACTGGAATTCGAACCTGTGCTACATGGAACATGAGCCCCTAACCACAGAAGTCTCTGTGACCTTTCAAAGCAAACACGCTGCTGCACACAGGAGCAGCTGCCAGCCTGCCCTGCAGCAGCCATAGCCATGCTGCAGGCCCCACCGGGGGCAGGTGCTGGCAGAGGGGACAGCCAGCCATTGGTAGGAGACCTTGCCCTGGGGAGAGGCAGCAGCGGAAATTGCTGTGGGATGATGGAGGCTGTGGTGGCCATGATGTGGTTGCTTCAGGGGCCCTGTGGTTCCAACCAGACCACTGTGCCTGCCTCCTGTGGCTTCTTTACCCACAGAGAACCCTCACTGGGGCCGTGTCCTGCTTCCTGGAGCTGAGGTTGAGTCTGGGAGCCCAGGTGGAACCCTTCTCACTCTCCGGGGAACTCCCACTCTTTATCTCCTGGGAGGTTGGGCTAGCATTTCTGCCTTATAGAAGAGGAAACCAGGGTCAGAAAGGCATGATGGCTGGTCCAGGGCCACACAGCAGAAGGGCTGTGTCTGCTCAATGACTGAAGATATGCGGCTCTTTTCTTGATACTCCATTCATTCATTCATTCACTGCAACACGTGCACATATCCTCTGGGTACTGACTATTCCCTTGCACAGCAACCTGAAGCCTTCCAGCTAAGCTTGAGCACCCGAGGACCAGCAACTGTGCCTGGGGGCCTCATCCAGCAGCTGCAGCCTGCTGGCACCTGCCCCAGAAGGCCGCCGTAGTGCTAGAGTAGGCTGTAAAGTGCTATCCCACCAGTAGCCTTGATGCACGACTGACCTGGTGAGAGTTAGTGATAAACAGTTCCGCATCATCACCCAAGGTTCTCCAGCTGTCCATAGTGTTATGTGCTAATTCCCATACCCTTTATTGGCTTCTTCCCTTTCCTGTGTAATTTCCCGGACAACCTAAACGTGATTCTTGGGATCGCATTCAAACCAAAAACCTTGCACTGGAATTTTTGTTCCAGACTGGGCTTCTGAGGGTAGCAAACGAAGACACTCATTTATTCAGTCTTCAAACACGATTGACGTAACCTGAGCCCACACCATGCTGGGCTCTGGGGATGTGGGTAAGATTCATCGGCGTTTCCTGGCCTCCAGAGCCCTTTGCTTGGTGGGAGAGGCAGGAACAGCTTCTGATGATTCTAACCCAGTGTGGTTAATGACATTATCACATCATCTCCAGGGAGAGTGACCCCTTCTGCCTGGGAGGTCAAGCGGCTTCTCCAAAGATGTTACCCTCCCGCTTGGCTTTGAAGGATGAGGAGGCGTTCCCCAGCGGGACCAGGGGGCTAAGGAAATGGCATTATTGGCAAAGAGAACAGCACGTGCAGACCAGGAGCAGGAGCAAGGAGGGGCTGACAGATGGTGGCACTACGGATGTTGGCAGGGTCAGACCGTGCCAGACTTGAAGGCCAGGGGAGACCCTGGGACTGTGGCATGGTCATGGGAAACCACCACTGAAAGTTTTGGAGCAAGGGCAGGATTTGGTTTTAGGAAATGCACTTTCTCTGGAAAGACCTACAGGTTTAATGTCCTTCCTTCCTCATTGTAACTCCCAGCAAGTCAAGGGAGGCCACCCTGGTGCAGCTGAACTGCAGCATCGCTGTATGTGGAGCTCTTATTAACACTTCATTCACAGGGTCTTCACACCCTTGAGTGAGGCATCCTTTTTAGTAACCTCTTTTTGTAAGTGGGGAAACTGATGCACGGTACAGGAACTCAATCAAGGTCCCATAGCTAGGAAGCAGGGGCATTGGGATTAGAACCCACGTTTCTTGGACAGGCACGTTGGCTCACGCCTGTAAATCTCAGCACTTTGGGAGGCCGAGGTGAGCGGATCACCTGAAGTCAGGAGTTCAAGACTGGCCTGACTAAGATGGCAAACCCTATCTCTACTAAACATACAAAAATTAGCCAGGCGTGGTGGCACATGGCTGTAATCCAAGCTACTCGGGAGGCTGAGGCAGGAGAATTGCTTGAACCCGGGAGGCAGAGGTTGCAGTGAGCCGAGATCATGCCACTGCATCTAGCCTGGGCAACAGAGCAAGATTCTTAAAAAATCTTAAAAATGTCTTAAAAAAAAAAAAAAGCTGGGCGCGGTGGCTCATGCCTGTAATCCCAGCACTTTGGGAGGCCAAGGTGGGTGGATCACGAGGTCAGGAGATTAAGACCATCCTGGCTAACACGGTGAAACCCTGTCTCTATTAAAAATACAAAAAATTAGCTGGGCGTGGTGGCGGGCGCCTGTAGTCACAGCTACTCGGGAGGCTGAGGCAGGAGAATGGTATGAACCCAGGAGGTGGAGCTTTCTGTGAGCCGAGATCACATCACTGCACTCTTGGGGGACAGAGGGAGACTCCATCTCAAAAGAAAACAACCAAAAACAAACAAACAAAAACAACAACAACAAGAAGCTGTGTTTCTTTGGCTTTAAGCCCATCCTCTATGTTGCCCCACCGCCATGGTTTTTAGAGGCTGGAGGGCTCCAGGAACCACCTTCTCTCCCCAGCACAGCCCTGGGGATGGGTGGGTGGGCAGAGAAGGGACAAGCAGCCCAAGTCACAGCCAGGGACGGAGACAGCGTGGCTTCTTTCGGAGAAATGAAGAAGCAGGAGTGTTATTCCTGGCCAGGATGGGAAACGGTTTGGAATCTTGGCTCCTATGCTCACTAGCCATGTGGTCTGTGGCAAGCCACATCCTCTCTCTGTGTCTTGACTTACCCATCTGTAAAATGGTGGCTCCTCATAACGCCCACCTCATAGGGCTGTTGTGAAGATTGCACGTGCTGAAGATTCAAATTCTCAGTACACTGCCAGGCACGTAGGAAGAATGTTGTTTTATAGCCCCCGTTTGGGAGTGGGTGGGCAGGAGCACAGACTCTGGGTTCCAATCCCCAAACTGCCATCGACTAGTCCATTTGTGAGCTGGCTGGTAAATTCACCTCCCTGTGCCTCAATTTCTTCATCAGTAAAATGGGATAACAATGGTGCCTTCCTAGTTGGGTTGTTGTGAAGGGTAAATGAGATGCCACGTGAAAGTGCAGAGAAGAAGGGCTACCATAAGGGGTTCCATGTGGGTGCTGCTGTTATTATTGGGTACCTACTGCATGCTATGTGCCTGCATACAGGAGTTGACCTTTGAGACCTGATCGTTCATGGCTGTTTCACAGATGTCGAAGTGGAGGCTCGGCAGGGTTGGAGGTTACCGGAATCTCCCAGCTGGTAAGGGCAGTGTCGGGACTGGAACCCCAGCCAGGCTGACTCAGACATCCCTGGGGCCTGCGCCTAGCAGGGCAGCTGTGACTCAAGTTTGCAGGAAGAGGAGGAGGAGGGTGGGGTAAATGGGTGCTTGAGGGAAGCCACGACCTCTATTCCCTCAGAAATGGAAGTGCTTGGTGAAGTTTGAGGTGTCTGAGCTGAAGAGCAGCCAGTGACAGGCCTGGGGATCGTCTGACACAGCCCACTTGACAAGGCCTTGGAAACTTTTGGTCTCTGCAGCAGCAACTGGATTTCAGCCTGGGCTTCGGACACCTCAGCCTGGGTACAGATGTGACTTGGGTACAGTCCTTCCCTGGCAGTGGAGGGGATGCCCAGGCTGGCACAGGAGTCTCGGGTCCTCTCTGACTCTACCCCAATCTGCTGTGTGATTTGGGCCCAGGCGGGGACCCCTCTAGGCTCTGTTACTGGAGAAAAGACAAGTGGCTGGGACAGGTGGGTCCCCAGCACTCCTTGCCTGGAGGTCTGCGAGTGGAGGGCTCTGGGGTAAAGCCAGAGCTGAGCCAGAGGAGAGCCTAGGCCACCTGGGCTCATGTCTGGTGAACAGGGTACCCTCTAGCCAAAGCTGGGGCAAGGCAAGGCACAAGCTGGGGCTGACCCCCTCTCCCAGCCCTGCACACCTCAAGCACATGGCCTTGGCCCATCTGCCCTGTGCGTGGACACTTTCCAGCCCTGGGTCCTGGACTCCACCAATCAGCAGGAACCTAGACTCCTGAGGGGTGCAGCCTGGATGGGAGGTCAGGGAACTGGGTTCCTGAGCACATCTCTGGGCCATTCTTCTCTCCATTGGTTTCTCAAATGTGGACTGAGCACACACTGTGAGTCAGGCCTGAGCTAGGTTCTAGGGATGCTACTGTCAACAAGACAGATGAAGGTTCCTGCCCTCATGGAGGGGAGGGAGACAATAAGCAAATAAATAAATTCATGATGTAATGGCAGCCAGGGAGCAATGCTGCTAAGCAGGGCGGGGGTGGGGAGTGACGCAGGCTGGTGTCGGGGAGGCACCGTTGTAGTGGTCAGGAAGACTGCTCCGAGAGGCAGACTGAGGGAAGGAGGAGGGACATCTAGATGTCTGAGGGAAGGGCCATTTGGGCAGAGGGAACAGCACAGGGCTCAGTGTGTGTGTGGAGGGGTGAGGTTGGAGGGGGCTCCATGTGCAAGGGTGCCAGTGGGGAAGGGGGGCAGGCTGTGAGTGGACAGGGCTATAGACTTCATTCTAACTGCGACAGAAAGGACTTGCAGGGTTTGGGAGGGGACATGATCTCATTTGGTCTTCCCAATAACCCCCTGCCAGAAAGAGACAGAGCTCCAAATTGCAGTGAGGAAGCTGAGGCTCAGAGGACATCCCAGCACATGTCTGGGGTGTCATATCATCATTGGAGGAGCTGGGACTCAAACCCAACTCTGGAAACTGTTTTGTCCTCAGCTCCGTGATAACATTGTGTGAGGTGCGGGGTGCAGCTCCCAACTCCTCCCTGCCCAACCACCACGCTCTGTTAGCCTGTGGTCTACAGAGTGACTTCCACCAGGGATGCCTTGCCTTCTTCTTCTTCTTCTTCTTTTTTTTTTTTTTTTTTTTTTTTTTTTTGTA